AAATTAGCAAAGTGCTTGGGTGAGTTGTAGGGAAAATGCTGCCAAGGCTTCGTGGGCCCAGATGGGTCCAGTAGCATTGCAGCCCTTCCCTGCACCAACTTGCATTATCCTGAGCCTTTTGGGTTGCTGTCTCTTGCTTGAAGAGCACGAAGTATTCTGAGGCTGTGCAAAGTGTGTGTGTGTAGCCCTGGGGATGATCTCTCTGCTCCCCAGGCAGGCTGACTTCTTGTTCTCCAAACCTGTAGGAGGTTCTCCAGAGTTCAGACTTAATTGGTGAGCAGCAGGTCCCAAAGAGGAAAAAGTTGAGTCCTGAGTCAGAAAGAAATGTAGCATGACAGGAGTTCCCAGTGGCTGGAGCTGCTATGTCGTCCTCTCCATGCCCACAAAAGTAGGCAGAAAATTCAATCTGTGCACCTAGAAAAGCCCAAGAAGCTCCTGATTACTCCAGATGCCTCCTGATAGGCTCGTCTCACATCCTGCAGCAGCTGCTTGAGTGAGGAAAGGTAGATGGGTCTCCTGAGCAGGTTTGTAACAGGTCCTGGTCTGCTCTTCCTGCTGCCTGCTTGTTAGTCCAGGCTTGGGGCTTCTGCCCAGGCACTGGTAACCTCATTTCTGCTCGACTTCTGGTATTGCTGCAGTTTGTGATGGAGAAGAGCTCTTAGGGCTGAGCAACAGAGCTTTGCCACAACTTTATTGCTTTATTTGTTTCACAGCATCTGTGGCTCTGATGATATGCAGGGGAGGGAGGGCAGCCCACCCACCCCACTCACTGCTGGCCCTGTTCAGACCTAAGCCCTCTGCCAGCTATGAAGTCCTCCTGGGTTCTCCCTGCTCCCCTTCCCCCCGGGTGGGACCACGCTGGGTTGTTCCTGTCCCAGGGCTCAGCCCACGGAGCCCATCCCATCCCCATGTGCTACTTTCCTCTTCCCTCGCTGTGCTCCAGCCCCTGCAGTGGCTCCCAGCTGAGCAGCAGTGAAAGCCGGTTTGGCCGGACATGACCTTAACCTGGGCTTTATTTAGCGCCTTGATTTATAGAGGAGTTATTTTAAAAGCATGTTTCTCTTTTGGGAGGTGTGGTGGAGTGGTGGCAGTGAGCTGGAGTTCACAGGTCCTCCTGTGCTATTGACAAAGAAGCATTTGAGTTCCAAGACATCTTTTGCTTGGGGAGATGCTCTCTGGCTTGCTTGGAAAGCGCCCTGGCTAGTGTTTGTGCCAAGTGGCTGAAAAGGAATAAGTGTCCAGGACCTTTTCTGTGAAAGGGATGTGGCAACAGTGTTGGAGGCAGGGAAGCTAGAAATTTCCAGTCCCTGAAGGAGGCTGCTTTTCTGCAGCAGGCTCCTGTGCTGGGCTCTGCCAGCTCTTGGGGGCCACTGTGGGCTGGCTGAAGTGGAAGTGTCCTGGGGTAGGAGTTCTCTCCCCTTGGATCCTTGCTGGGTTAGCTTGCTCTCCTCCTCTCCAGGTGCTGTCCACTCATCCTGGGTCACAGAGGTTTCTCCTCATGCCTGCTGGAGCTAAGTGATGGAAACTCTGGAATAGGTTGCCCAGAGAGATTGTGGAGTCTCCTTCTTTGGAGATACTCAAAAGCCATCTGGAGTAACATGCTCTGGGGGACCCTAACATGCTCTAGGAAACCCTTCAGTGGTCTGGGGGACCCCTAATATGGTCTAGGGGACCCTGCTGGAGCAGAGAGGTTGGACTAGATGACCTCCAGTGGTGCCTTCCAACCTTACACATTCTACGATTCCGTGATGTGGTTTGTAGGTAGGACAAGCTCTGGACTTCAGGTTTATCAGCCTCTGGACTGCAGGGCACCATCCCCTTCTCTTGTTTGTGTGAGTTCCCTGTGCCTCCAAACCATGTCTTTTCCATGTGTGTGGCAGCAGGCCCTGCCTGCAGGCTGGATGTGTGAGGCTGCCCAGCTGTGCTCTGGCATTCAACAGCCTCTTACAGCCCCTGCTGAGGCCCTTTCCTCTGGCCCCTCTGCAATCTGAGAAGCTAATTAATACAAATAAGCAATTCCATCCCTTGGATTGTGAGTTGGGTTAATGAGTCCCTGATTAGAGGTGAATCTGCTGCTATTGCAGGCTCCAAGCTCTGCTGTGTTCCACCCTCTGTGTTTTCAAGGTGACTTCTGAGGCACTGCCATGTTGCACCCTCTACCCCAGCTGGACATAACCCTGGTGACCACCCTGGGTGGGAGCACTGAAAAGTGGTGTCACCTCCACAATTGCCTGTTGCACATGGAGGCTGCATCCATCCTTGTTCTGCAGCTGCCCAGGGATGCTGGTGCTGCAATCACATGCAGCGTGGTGGGATGTGGGAATTTACTCCCTATTTGGGACTTTTGATGTGGAATTAGCAGAGACTGGGGCAAACATTTCTTTCTACCAAATGGTAGGGGTTGAAGCCTTCTCTCTGTCCCTTGGAAGCCTGCACAGCTCTCATGGCTTCATGGTATAGTCTAGCCAGAGGGAGATAAAGCCTCTGTGCTTTGGAGTGCACTGTTAGCACTGCACTCTGCAATGGCTACAGGCTATGGTTATTCTGTATTTTACTAAAGGAAGGATAATGTACGACCTGGTTTATTTTAACCATATAAAAGATTTTTGATCCGGTGCCAGTGTTAATAATTGTTTTGTGAAGGCTTTGCTAAGGCAGCAGGAATGGTGTGAGAACCTTAGAGCGATGCACTGACTCATGTGCAAATATTTTGACTTCTTTGTTTTATTTGCAATAGTAAACTTAACAAATGTCTTTTGGGGAGGGATTGATATCTGAAAGAATTTTGCTCAAGCAGGACATGGGGACAGAGGATGGCACAGAACCAACCCCAGCTGGTTTTGACTGGTACTTGGAAACCTGTGGGCTGTGGAGGGTCAGGGAGATTGTTGTCAAATGCTACCAGCAGCAGTGCTACTGTGATAGTGCCCAAGCAGGCAGCTGGTGCTGGGTGGGAGAGCACCTGTGTGAAGGCCAGTTTTGTCTGACAAGGCCAAAGGCACTTGCTGGGACAGGTTGATGTCAACAGAGGTTATTATTTTTCTGAGTGGGAAGAAACTTGTCTAAAACAGCCTTCTCCTCCCATTTAGGATTGGGGTTAAATGCTTACCCTAGCACTCCGTGTTTGGAAGTGTGCATGTAGGGCTCCTGCTTTTGGAGTCCTTGGGTTAAGAATATTGGGTTAAGAATTCCAACTAAGGACAATCTGTGATTCTGTGAATACGAAAAATAGCTCCTTAACCTCTGTTCATCTGGTTGCATTGGCCTTGAGGAGTACTGCAGGAGGCAGCTGGTTTCTCAGAAAAGGTGTGAACACTTTAGGAGCCTGCTGCCATCTAGCCTTGCTTGTTGCTGCCACCAGGAGAAACAGCAGAAGAGGTAAGGAAGCAGTGCTGTGCCACAGGCAGCGTGTGGTTTGCCTGTCACACGTGTTCTGCCAGCTCGCTGCAGTCAGGAATTGTGGAGGCATCTCCTGGGTGTCCCCACCTCTCCTGTGCAGTCCCACAGGCTGTCCTACAACAGAACAGGGAGTTTATATTAAGCTTAAAACATCCAACCCTCTAAAAGAAGAACTTGGAGATTGTTGAGCTGTGAGAGGTGGGAAGGCTCGTGTGAGGAGCATCGTCTCTACTCGGGCTGCAGGTCGGTTCAGGCTTTCTCTGAGACTGTTGCATTTTCTCAGGCCAGTGGAGGTATCTGGAGGGATGAACCTGTGCTGCTGTGGAGTGGAAGAAGCAAAACAGTTTTGTTTTCTCCTGATCCCCTCGCCCTACTGCTCCCCGGTGGTGGTGTAAGCTGTTGTGGCACTGCTTTGTTTAACTTTCTCTCCCCATCTTGCTGTGGGACTGAGGTATGTTTTCAGGCATGTCCATGCAGCTGTTCCTGTTCTGCAGGAGGCTGTAGGGCCAAGTGGCTGAAATGCTTTTCTTGTCTCTAGTGAAAGGAGGTGGATTTAGATCAGATGAAGACCTGGCCAGACACCTGAGTAAACTTTCATTTGGTTTTGTAGCAAAACTTACTCCTACTGGCTGTAAGTTAGCCCAAGGGATCCCCTCTGAAATAGAAAGCAAAGGAGGGATCCTGATCCTCTCTCCAGATATGTACAGCTTTATTTTTTTTATTGTTACTTTTTGGCAAGCCCTCTTGATTTACACCCATGCAATAACTCAGATTTTGGCCTCTGGCACTGGAATTGGTCCTGACACCATGGGCAGGCTCTGGCTGGCAGGTTCTTCCAAATGAAGGTGTATTCAGGGAAGCCATTGCCTCTGATCTATGAGCTGGAAATGGGCATCCCACGTATTGATGTGTGTGCTCAGGGACCACTGTTCATGTGCAGTCTGTGAATCCTGTTGGGAGGCATCTCTCAGTGCAGAAAATTCCTGGCTCCTGGAGTGGAGCCTTTCATGAGAGGCAAACAGCTTTGGATAATGAGGAATCTCACTGGTGAGCGGCTTTCCTTGGGACCAAGCGCTCCGAACTCACCCTGTGCTGGGACTCCAGAGCGCGGCAGGCTCAGGAGCTTCAGCCCAACCTGTTGTCCCTGCAGCTCTGCTCAGCCCAGCGGGGAGCTGTAACTCTGGGATGTAACGTACCCAAGTGCTGGGCAGCATCTCCAGCCCCGGGTACCCAGGACTCGGGTCCCGCCGATGCGCCCACCCCATGACTGGCTTGCCCGCACGCGCTCACGTGCCGCGGTGTGGTCTAACAGCCGCCCCACCCCGCGCAGGCAGGAGAAGGACTTGCTGCGTAAGCAAAAGCTGGGAATTCTCGCTGCTGTGCACAGCACACTCTGCGAGCACTCCACTCCCGTTTTGGGAGAGCTTTCCAGTGTTTACCTGGAATCCCTGGTGCCAAGAGGAGCTGGAGAGGACAGCGCTTTGCTCCTTTGATCTCCGCTCCTCCTGCGTTTGGAGATGGCTGCTCTCCTGGGCGGAGGGCTCGTCGGGGCGCCGGCGCGGATCGTGCCGTGGTACCACTAACGCTTTGTCTCTCGGCAGGACTCGGAGTCGCTGGACGGCTGCATTCAGAGCACGTTATCAACACTCTACCCTCCGTTTGAGGCTACCGCAGCCACTGTTCTGTGCCAAGTTTTTGATGTGGTGGAGAAGACGTACCGTGGGGATGGACTGCGCTACCTCATAGACTTCCTGATTCCAGCCAAGCACATCCTGCAGTGCATTCAGCAGGATGCCTGTGTGAGTACATCATGCTCTCTAAGGCCTGTGGAGGCTCTCTTGGAGAGTTTTCTTTCTGCCTCTTGTATGTATAACGGCTGGCAGAAAGTATGTGCAGCAGCCTAGGTGGGAGGTGTGATGACCCACAGGGCAGGCAGACAATTGGGAAACAGTTGAGAAATCGTTGTTGAAGCCTAACCCGTGCAGAGATCAGGTGTGGAGCGGTGCCCTCGCCTTCCATAACCAGCAACACTGAACAGAAGGTGTTAAGGGACTCACAGGAAGAGGTTTAGCAAAGCGCTTGCTGGATGTGGCTGACTCAGGTGGCCTCTGACCCCGGCCGTTCCCTGGCCTTGTGGATGAAGCTGTCGGGCTCCCGCCAACCCTGGCAGGAGGACGTGCGGGGCGAAATGCTGCCAGTCGGTGTTTTTCCCAGAACTCCAGCTCCCCTTTGATGGTTGCTGGAACGGTCGCAAGGCTCAGTAGCCCCGAGGAGTCACGTTACATTTACTGCCAGAACGAGTCCAAGATTAACGTGTGTTACTGTTGGGAGTCTAAAATGTTAGAAACGATGAGTCAAACGCCTCCATCACAAACTTGGCTCAAAGTCTGAAAGATGAAAAAAAAACCCAAACAACCGGCCCCAACAACCTAAAACTTGGGTTCAGTGTAGCATTCTTGTCTCTGAATGTGGAGCGGGTATGTGGCCAGGCTGTCAATAGAAGTCCTCATGGTGGAGGGCAAGGGACTTCTAGGAGGAGCAAAGATATTAAATAGAAGCCGAAACAATCAGTTACTCATTTGTCTCAAGGAGGTGAAATGCTGTGGGGAAAGACCCATCACATAGGATGGATCCATGTAAAGCTGCGCATCTTGCAAGTAAGTGCTTTGGTGCAGTGTTTGTCCCACTGTGTTGTCAGCCAGCCTCCAGCTTGGCGCCAGCTGTGTGTCTGTGAGCCCAGGAGGATCCAAGGTTGTACATCAGGATTTTGGGGAGCTGCTCTCTGTCATGAACACTGGAATAGGAATTATTCCATCACTGTCTGTAGCTGCAGTTTTTAATTCGATGGTGCATCACTTTTTTCCCCTCTAAAGAAACAAAAGGCTTTTCGTTTGTGTGAACTACTCATTATGGCAAGACACTTCACAGCTTTCCCCAAAACATCTTGGCCTCGCCAAGGTAGCAATGTCCCCACTCCCTGAGATCCCGGCAGCTTCCAGCGGGGCCTTGGGCAGGTGAGGTGGTGGAGGGGTGAGGGAGGGAAAGCGGCAGGGAGCTGAACCCACAGTGCTGCTGTCCCAACAGGGAGGTGTTGGGGGCAGGAGGGGTGCGCTGGGCAGTGCTGGGGCAGGGACAGGGACACGGACAGGGA